GATCTTTTGTTGGTGATTGTTTATCATTGAATTTATCAAAAGTGTTCATATGGTCATAGGGATAAACTCCTTTTTTTTTCATGAGCTTGAATTGCTCATTTTGAAAGACTTGATGTATATCTGAATACTTTATCAGGGAGATCACTTGCTATTTTATCAAGACTGGAGCTCATGAATTGAAAACTATCAAGGAACACAACATGCTTCCCTAACATGAAAACAATGTATTTTTCCATGTTGGTTGGTATTACATTTATGTCCATCTGTTTTTCTTCAACTTTTTGTTTTTGTAGGTTTGCTTTTTAGCTATTTTACCTATCTCTTGCATCATGAAGTGATTGTTATATCCTTGTATATTATGGAAGATAATAAGTATCTTAATTTCTTCAGCCTTTAACCTGAAGTGGTTGATATTACAATCTTGATGAGCCAACCCTCTGTATTTTCCAGTTATGTGACAATGGTCTCTCACCCTAATATCTTAATCAACCTTACCAACCAAATCTTCAACAAGTAAGTGCACCACAAAAATAAGTTTGTAAAAAAAGTTTTTGGGTTTACATGATTAAGGCAGGTTTCACCTGAATTTGAATGAAATTTGAAGAGGTTTAAAGAAGGGATAGAAGAAAGAAAATGAGTTGTGGAACACCAACAGACAGTTGATATCCATGCAACAGCAACCCAAGTTGCTGGTGGACTAACTTGGAGTACATCTATTAATTACTAACTACAAATTCTAATTTTTAAATTCACTAAATCTTCAAACTTTCTTATTTCCCTAAATTTTTCAATCTTTCAAGAGAAAATCTATTTCCTCCAAACAAACCCAAAAATCGACCAAAATTTACAAAACACTTGATAACTTACATTTATGTTTTGATGATAGGGTTTTTTATTACTTGAAACATGAATGAGATACTTCCATTAAACCCAAGTTAAGTGGCAAAAAATGGCATTCAGGTATAATGCCCCCTTAAGTATATTTAGCCAAGCTCCCTCATCTTGCATTTTATTCTTTCAGTTCAAGGATACATTCACCCGCTCAGCCCTGTAAAGACTGCCAGCAACACAACCACAAACTACTTTGATTGTCACATGCAAACAGATGAAAAATTGCATTGTTCACCTTTTGAGCTACAGTTCTCAAAAGAGAACTAAACTCCAACAAGTATATGAAAGGAAATCTTCTGTTAGAATAACTGATACAAAACCAATTGCCACCAAAAGATTTAGCACTGAAAGAGAGGGATATAGCATTCCAAAGATTGCAAAAATAACACCCACCACAGTAGATTTTTCTTTAATTGAAACTTGTGACAACCATCTGCACACTGTAAAGGATGCTTAAAAAGCAAATGCGTACATAAGAATAGATTTGAATGTAAAAGTAATAACTTAAGATGAACGCTAACAACCAATTGTGGAAAATAGCAAAATAAGTTACAAAGTAGACTGTTTTGTAGCATCTAAAACACAAGTAATGAAACTTGGGATCTGGGAAAAAAAAACAATGAGCAAGTCTGAACTGGAAAGAGCTATCTGTTCAAGAATCTCACAGTTCACACATTTGACAATGTTATATCAGTACAAACAAAGCAACAACAATAACAGAAATTGATGACATTCAAAACAAACATTGGAAATGTAGAATTAGATCATAACATTGTTAAAGGACTGTATTGGAATTGAAGTAAAAAAGAAGAAATGTTGCATCGTATGCAACAAAATTCTACTTATAGAGCAAGACAAAGGATACATGACCTGTACTAATAAACAATGCAATATGACTACATTAACATCCATGTTAAAACCTGAATTGGTCTGCCAAGTCATTGTTAGGACAGAAAATAACACAATTTTTAACTGCACATGTTTTAATGATGGTATCAACAGCTTTCTGAGAAAAATTGACAAGGACCTGTCAGTTTCCAATATGCCAAAAAATGAACTAAAAAAACTTGTATCGAAATCTTGATAACAAACCATGATAGTTAATAAAACTGCAAAGATATCATCACAGATCCTTTAGTGCCATCACATGGCACATTTCAAATTTGTTCTGTTAAAATACTGAGTCAATCAGTTGCATCCACATGTACAACAATGGATACATGTGTATAGCATTGTTTTTGCAACTAAGAAATTAATTTGCTGAGACTTGCTGTTGATGTTTGAGAAATGTGTTACTGTTTGAAATGCAATGTTACAAATGCAATATTAGAGTTGCTATGTTTGAAATGCATTGTTCGAGTTGCTAAGTTTGAAATGTGCCAGATTTTAAAGTTATTAAGTTTAAAATACAATGTTGAAGTTGCTATGTTTGAAATGCAGTGTAAAGTTACATGTTTGAAATGCAATGTTAAAGTTGCTAAGTTTGAAATGCAATGTTTAAGTTGCTATCTTTGAAATGCAATGTAAAGTTGCTATGTTTCAAATTGGTTAGAAATTAACTATTAAAGTTACTGTTTGAATTAAGTATTAAAGTTACAAATCAACTTTCCTGAACAGTCGTGGAGTTGCTAGTGAGCTAACATAATATATTTATAACATTAATTGAATGATATCTGCTCCCCCTATACAAGAAACTAGTCTCTGATTAAAATTAGCCAACACAAGTCAATGAACTATAATTAATTCTGTAGATACATGTGGTCATAGACTGCCTTTTTTTTCCAGGATAAGGGGTTGTTGCTTTGGTTACTGCAATCAATACTGTGATAAGTGGATTTAACTGAGGGGACTTACAGGTGTCTGATTACAGCCAACTGTCCAATTACACAATCCGATTACATTACTGTGCAGAATGATAAGTGAAGAATAAGGTAGCTAATGTACCAATCACATTTCAGGAAATGGTATAGGTTATGATTAACATGTAAACAGCATCAGAAAAAGAAAACTACAAATGATCTGGCTAGGATAAGCTAAAGTCTTGCATCTGATTTGTCAAGATGGTGGCCAGAGCAAAAGACATTCAAATGAATGTCATCCAGAGTAATTTTAACAGTCAACAATTCAAAGCAAATATATGTATTCCATTGACCAGGTTCAAATTGATCTTTATTTAGTATTTGATCCCTTTGTGAAGGTACAGGGTTTAAAAAAAATAACAAAGAAGACAGAAACATTCTAAGAAGTATCACTAACAGGTTCCAGAATCTACCTGAGATGTAAATGGTGAGAGGCACTGTTTAGGTGTCTGATCTCAAAATACTTTGACCAGGGCTATAGTCAAACTCAGTTAGACTGTAATGCAGCACACTAACTTTTAAAAGAAGCGGTAAATAAAAATAACTACGCAGCTGGACGACAACTATTTGATAAACCATGCACACCTTGACTTAAAAGACATATATCGCTAACACAAGTTAGGAGATGAACACATCTGGGTTCAGTGCTGTCGTCAAACAAATCTATCAGTATGAAGAAGTTAAATGTATTGAAATGCACTTGTTAAGTTCTGAGGTGAGTACTATTGAAATTACAAAAGTTGGACATAATCTCGCCTTGTTTCAGGCCTGCAGTAGAAAAAAAAAAGGAATCGAAGCAAGAACGAGAGCCCACTATCTGTACCGAGGTTCTTCCTAGTCTTCCCATTTGCACTATTGTGGAATATTCCTTGCCCGCTTCTTAATACATTTTTCTTTTAACAAAACGGCCATTGTAATCCATTTTTGACAAAGCGGCCACAATCGTTTTTAATATAATCTCAAGCCTTTATGTTGTCCTCATCTTAGTGCTGATTAATTCAATAAATTACCAGGAAAAAAGCAGAAAAAAAGAATAATAAAATAGGAAATTAGTTTTTAAACTTTTCTCACTAAAAGGAAGAATAGCACAATGAAGGAGCGAAGTAAGCTTAACAGTATTATTACTAGGACCGTGAGGTGGTACGCCATATCGAAGTAGTATTGAATCGTCCTTGGATGGCAGCAAACTCAATAACTTACCTTCTCACTGAATTGGAAACCGTTAGGCGGTTCTCTGTACTTCGTGAATATGCTTTGGTTCCGGGTAAAAGTAGTACTGAAAGCAAGATTTCGTCTGCATGAAGCAGTAGCCCTGAGTACATTTGAAATCACACCGATCTCTTCCCCAGATATTGTCCGGTTAAGACCTTCCCAGCATCGCACGTGCGTGTAAGTGGAAATAAATTTTGATATGGGTTGAGAAAGAATGTGAAACTCCCGCTGACGAAAAAAAAATTTCTGGGGAGGCTCATATGAGATATCAAATTTAATGCTAGCCTTATAATGTTCCATATTTGCCACTATTCAAGCTTAAAATTTTCCGACTTGAGAAACACCACAGCCGGAAAGAGAGAAAAAGGTCATTTACACAAAATATCTCTTCCATTGAATTCCGACGATAAATAAATAACCATATTTCGTTATCTTCATAAAGAAGTGTACGTAGCCCAAAGAAATGGAAGGCTATTCGATACTAATCTCTCGGTAGATCTTCGAGGAACAAAAATAATTCGTATAGGACTGCATTTTCGGGCAATGTTTCAGTTTCGACAATCTCTCCTTATTCTGACTCTACGAAAACTGCGAATAAAAATTAAAATATCTGAGCCATTTAATTATAAGTTAATTGTTCCTCTCAACTCCTCACTTAAACAATAGCTATTGCTCATTAAAAATAAATTAATTTATTCTAGTCTTAGTAATATAAGAAGTAATCTGCGTATTCCGGCAATAATTACTTGGAGTCTGATATACTGTTACAGACACGCCTATGACACGCCTCCGCTACACTAGTAACCTTTGAAGGTTACATAATCAGTTTCGAATTAACAAAAGGAAATAAAGAGAGGCACGGAAAGCGAAGAGATCGTCAGCAGTTTGAAATAATCCTAAATGTCGAAGCCTTATTACGGAAAAGTCGCGGCAAAAAATCAAGCTTCTCAAAACTCTTTCGACGTCACTCTGAACGTCATATAATCAAGCTTTCTCATTACGACAATCGAGCCTGATTTTCGCGAAGAGAGGTTGACCATGATTCAGACGTTTGCTAAAGAGTACAAGGAGTCAATAACCCTGGCCTACTATTGTGGTAATCTTCTTCTTACAATCGTCGTCTTTGTATTTGGAACCATTTACTTGTGGCACAAAGATCGAAGGGATCAGCAGAGGCGCTTCCGGGAGGATCGGGAAGACCAAAACAGACGTAACCAAGAAGACCGAAGAGATCATCAAAGGCGCTTACAGGAGGATCGGGAATACCTAAACAGACGTGACCAAGAAGACCGAAGAGACCATCAGAGGCGGGAATGGCGCCAGTTCGCGGAAAGAATTTACACAGATTACAGCAGTCTGAGAAGAAACCAGATCCTAGAGAACATGTTAAAGGTAAAGAAAACTTTCGAAAAATTTCCAATTCATTCTGAAGTAACTGGCCTTGATGTTTTGAGATACTGGCTCGCTGATGATCGCCACCGAAATGTGTCGAGTGAATCTCCCCAGCTGAGGGCCCTTCGTGAAGACCTCTACATGATCTTCTTGCAGCTAAATTCCTGCCATTCGTTGATCCATTTAGGAGAAGTGCCCAAAAATATAACGGAAGAATTACGATATGTAGTGGAGGAATTGGGGAATGTAGCAAAGCCTTTCTTAACAGGTGAAAAACTAAAGGTCGCTTCGACATGCCTCAAACATTTTGGCATGCCGGTCAAGAAAGAAGAAGAAGAAGAAGGAGGAGGAGGAGTAGGAGGAGAAGAAGAAGAAGAAAAAAAGCTTCATGAGTTGGTTGAAGGAAACATTCCGTATTTAGATAGCCTGAAGTTTGGTGATAATGATCATAGGGCTAGTTCAACATCATCACCACCCCCTCCTGTATATTATAGCCAGTCCAAATTTTGTTTAATGTGAGCATGCCAAACAACGAACATAATTTCCTCCAGAAGCTCCATGATAATCTAGAAAAGGGAGAAGGTAAGACCTTTTTGGTCAGAATGTTTAAAGATCGACAAGCAGAGCTGCCTCTAAACTTGACCGACCCTATCGGTGACTGCATGAGGTACGTTACTATATCCATCATCTTCAGAACAACAGAGAGCTATGGGAGATTGATGGAACAAATACAGTAGTTAATGTGGATAGACTAAGTCAGGTTCATAAGGAAATAACGGGAACATTGATAGAAAATGCGTTCAAAGAATTTTTGAAGAATTGTATATTTAATCTTCAAAAAAGTGTCAATGATTCTCCAGATGTTCTTGACGATGGTGAGCTTTTTCGCGATTTTGGGAAATTCTGGGCGGAAGAAGTAATGACAAAATTTCTAACTACACCTCCGCCCCCCCAGCCTTCTGAGCAGGATCCACTGCATTCTGAGCAAAGTCCCCTGCATTCTGAGCAAAGTCTCCGGCCTTCTGAGCAGTACCGCCAGCCTCATTTTCCTTTGGGATCTAATGGGGAGAATGAGAGAGTTGAATCATTAGAACTTCCTGATTCTTTGCCTTTGGAAATCAATGGGGAGAACAATGAAGACCAATCATTAAATCGTCCTGAAGAAACCAAAGTGTGAAATGTAAAAGATTCCTGCTTTTGGCTACTAATTGAGGATTGCATAAAAGATGTTGGCAGTTTTCAGACTGGTTAAATATATTTTTTTTAGTGTAGGCATATTGTTACCATGCAGTTTTAGAAAGTAGTCTTTTTGTTGCTATTGTTTGCATTATGTTTACTTTTAGTAATAATTTTTTTCACTTTAGGCACAGCCAGTATTATATTTACCCATTCCTCATTAGGCATAACTAGAGTATCAGCTCTATGAATTCTAATTTTTCTTGACTTAACCCTATACACCCTAATATCAGTATGCATATTCTCCATACTGTTCATCATACATTTCTTAAAGTGCAGACAAGGAGAATTTGTTCAACAATCTAGAGCCTCCTTCATTGGTGATCATCTCCCTTATTCTTGTGACCTTTATGTGTGATTCAGGGAAGATATTGCAAGTAGAAATTAGATGCTAGTCACTCTTATGAGTGAAAGGGTGAATGTATTTCCTTGAAATTTTAGTACCTGGATGCTTATTCAAAATTTCAGCTGAAGGAGAAGTGCTTACTGGAAGTTGGACACTTAATCGCAACAGGACAAAAATTTAAAGAACAGATAATGCACATAAGACATTCTGTTAGTTAGCACATGGAGATAGAAATCACAGGAACAGGGAAGATACTATTCTCCTGTACTGATTCCTCTGTAGTTGACACTTAAAAAGTTGTAAATAAAGTGGCAAAACAGGTTTTCCTTATGTTCCTACAATTCATGAAAGTAAGGGAGGAGGGTGGGGGAGGGGGGGTGCCTATTCAAGAGGGGTACTTGTTTGACATTATGGCCTAGTAGGTGGGTACTTATTTAGTGGGGGGGTTTGGTCCTTTTTATAACGTGGGTGCTGACTTGCCCAGCTTTCAGTAGAGCTTGGTTAATGAGTTAATAGTTTTAGCTTATTTTTTTCTCTGTTTTGGTGGGAATTTTCCTAATTGCCTTTTGGGCTTGAAGTGTTAAGGATAGGAAAAAACCTCAATAGAACTTACTTTATCACATGACCCCAAATCCCTCAACACCAGTCTATTTACCACAAAAAATGCGTGGGCTTTGTCTCATGAGTTTAAACTAGTGCCATTTTCTTCATCTTCAAGTGTTATTTGAAACAGTGGCGTCGGCTTCATTTTGTCTTGTTTACTTCAGTAGTATGCCTCTGCCATGTGAAATGAATTTGAGTCGAAGTGCACAATGATACACCCATATTATTTTAATCCAACTTTCTTTGGATCTTAACGCATGAGATGAGTGATACAGCAAATAGCTAATTACTCAAGGGGCTGGAACTCCTTGTTTCTCTGGAATGTTAAATACAGTATTTCTGTTAGATTTAAAAAACAAATTTTTGGTTAAAAATTTATTCAAACCAATTTTACTTGTATTTCACTTTGCTAGGAATGTTTTGATCCTTCAATTGTTATTTCTTAATTGCAATTGATGACAGGAATTAACTTTTAAGTTCCCTGCTGGTTTGGAAGATGCAAAGAGACACCAATACATGTTGTTTGTATTATTGACAGAATAGATAGGTGACATTTTCTGTGGCAAGCTGGTATTCCAGAGATTTTCATTAGTACCAGAAGCTTCCTGCCGGTTTAAATTATCAGTCTTTTGTTCTATGCAACTTGCCTTGCATAACTTATGCTATATGCAAATTGTGTCTCTACTTTATTTGCAACCATAAAATTACCAATAAGGTTTTCTTTAAAAGTTTTGTCCACATTTCATTGGGAAAGATCATGAGGAGTGATCAGGTGAAATATTGTCATGTTCCTTATTAAGAGTGTCTGAGCTTCCAGGATGAGAGCTATAAAAATTTCCCAATTGACTAATGTTTGATTTGTCTGTCAAAAAACTATAAATTTCTTCAAATAGGCATCCAAGCCAGTGCCCATGATTGCATAATATTCAATATGAAAGTTCCCTTTTGATGAAAGTCTCTGCATTTCTCTAAAGTCTGCTTGGTGTAAATCATCTATTTTCATAAAGAGATCAACAAACCTCTCCACATTATTTTAATCTGACTTTGTTCATTCTTGTTTCCAGGAATGAAAAGGCTTTTGGAGATATTTTGGTTTTCATCCTCACTGATAATATCAGCCTTACTGGTTCTTTGTTGTTTGGTTTGTAATAAGAGTCTTTTTAGAGCATCAGATTGTCACATAACTTTTGTAATGAAATATGTTAGAGAAAAAGGTTGCAAAGAGAGTATATGATTTTGTGGTGCAGTTGAAAGGATAAATGAATGTGACATTTATTAGGAAATAATTGATTCATTTAACTATTTATACAACAAATGGAAGCAGAAACTAGTACTTTTGTTTTAGTTCACAACTTTGCCACCTTTCAGACAATATGTGTAGAAGCTGAGTACCAGTATGTCAACTTCTGATCTGATGAAAAGCAAGGAGAGAGAATGTGAACTAAACATTCCCATTTCTGGTCACTCTTTTGGGTTTATCAGGCAACAGGCTGGTTTTTCTAGTCTTTGTACACACCAGTCTCCAATCATGGTGAATTCTCATCTGTTAAGGCTTAAGGGTAGTTTGACCAAAGTAAAGTATTCAAATCTTAATGAAATTTGTTGCATCATTGATCATATCTGATGATATATTTCAGACACTAATGATTGAAAAAAATTTCTTTACTCTGATAAAATCCAGTTATTCCTCCATTTCTACCAAACTCTCCTCTGATGTAACGACCTTATCTCTAGTACTAACGTTAGCTTACTTTTCTTTACTCGACATTGACCTTTGTTGTTTTGGTAATCGGCCCCGCCGGTTGTGATTCATGTAAAAAAAATGAATAGCTTTTGCAACAAGACAAACTTCTGTAAACTTAAATTAATTCATCGCTAAAGTTGCAAGTACATTGCACTAGCAGTATAATTGAAGCTCTACAAAACACTCACAGGAAGTGAGTACTTCAAATGATGAACGATAACTTGGGAAAGCAATGACACGATAAAGGTATACAAACCAATACGTCTGTGCTCTTTTGCAAGCCTCTTGCATCCTTCACAAATAACATATACATCAATCGCCCAAACAATCTTAAAACAAAGACTCGAAGTTGTTTACATACTTTTTTGTTTTTTGAAAATCACTTCCTTCCAAAAACCACACAACAATTTTAAGACTTTGACGCTTCCATCTAAGTTTCAGAGGGAAAAATTAAGAATGGTTTTCTAAAATACTTGATCCTTTCCTGGTTTCCGACGCATTTTCTTCTTTAGCGATTATTTAGCGAGAAACCGACGCAGGCGCATACCAGCGGTGTTTCGCATCAAACAAAAATTTACAAAGCATGCGGAAACATAGTGCCCCAGCCTTCCTAAGTAGAGCTTGATTTTCGTGAAGAAAGGTTGACTATGGTGCAGACATTTGTTAAAGAATACAAGGAATTAATAACCCTGGTCTACTATTTTATTAATACCATTCTTACAATCATCGGCTTTGCAGCTGGAACTATTTACTTATGGCACAGAAGTCGAAGTGACCAGGAGAGGCGTGCAAAGGAGGATAGGGAACACCAGGAGAGGCTTGCAAAGGAGGCAATGGAATACCAGAAGAGGCGTGCAAAGGAGGATAGGAAATACCAGGAGAGACATGAACAGGAGGATAGGGAACACCAGGAGAGACGTGAACAGGAGAATCGGGAATACCAAGAGAGACGTGAACAGGAGAATCGGGAATACCAAGAGAGACGTGAACAGGAGAATCGGGAATACCAAGAGAGACGCGAACAGGAGAATCAGGAACGCCAAGAGAGACGCGAACAGGAGAATCAGGAACGCCAAGAGAGACGCGAACAGGAGAATCGGGAACGCCAAGACAGACGTGACGAAGAAGAGCGAAGGGACCATCTGAGGCGAGAATGGCGTCAGTTCACGGAAGGAATTTTTACAGATTACAGCAGTCTGAAACGAAACCAGATCCTAGAGAACATATTAAAAGTAAAGAAAACTTTTGACAAATTTCCAATTCATTCTGAAGTAACTGGCCTTGATGTTTTGAGATACTGGCTCGCTGATGATCACTACCAAAATGTTTCGATCGAATCACCCCAGCTGAGGGCCCTTCGTAAAGACCTCCACACGATCTACCGGTCGCTAAGTTCCTGCTCTTCGTTGATCCATTCAGGAGAAGTGCCCAAAAATACGAAGGAAGAATTAAGAGGTGTAGTGGAAGAATTGGGGAATGCAGCAAAGCCTTTCTTAACAGGTGATAAACTAGAGGTCGCTTTGACATGCCTCAAACACTTTGGTGGGGGCAAACCATATGCAGGTCCTGAAAGAAAAGTGCCCGATAAGCCACATATATTACATATTGTTCCATATGTAAATAGCCTGAAGTTAGTTAATGATGCTCGTCGGGAG